GGGCCTGGCATTAGGAATTCATTTGAAATCCTCAAGGTCTCGTCTCTTTCTTGCTAGAAAGAATGCAGTAACAGCAGTGAGAAGTGGAGAATCATGAGGTAGATGAGAGCTTTGTGCCCAGACCATCCCCAAGGCAGTATTACGATGAGGCAAATAAAATAGAACTGGCAGGGTTTTCTGTCAGCCTTTTCAAGAAGTGTAATTTGCAGGCCTCCTGCCTCTAAAATGTTAAGAGTAGGGAAGTAAAGAGGAATGAGCAGGCAACTTTAAAAAGAGCGAACAGCAGGAAGTGTTCCACCAACGTGGAAGCCTCTCGAGGAACCTACATGTTGGGGAGACCCAAGGACCTGCCCCCCGACTGGGAAAGTCGCCATGGGAAATGTCGTGGTGAACCGCCTCCAGTCCCATCAACCAAAGTCTTTAAACATGTTAGCGTTCTCACCTTCTATGGAACTGTGTCTTCGGACCGACTTCTTAGCTGCTAAGGAAAATGCCTAATGTGTACCTAATGATCTGGAAAGAGGGGGCTGCACTGATCCAACCGAAGAATATTGAGAAGACTTTTCAAGGGACAGTGACAATTGCAAGCTTTCGTATCAACAGAAGGAAGTTGAGTTTCTCTTCAAAGAAAGATGGTACTCCTTTCTGGATTTAATCAAAATGTGAATGGTGGGAAAATGGAAAAGGAAAGATGGAAACAGCTGTTGTCATACCCCCTTCCTGCACCCCAGCTTCATCTGCTGTAGGTCAGAAATCCTGAGCAAAGCCAATGAAACTCATTCTTTCCCACGCCCAAACTCTTTGTCCTCTGTGGCACCCCTCTTTTGCTCCCTTGGAGCCTGTGTCCCTCGCCTAACTTGCAGCTTTTCAGGATTCCTAAGGATGATCCCAGGGACGACTGAACAATTGGTTAACAGCTCATAACAAACTAACCTTTGCTTTATGGCAGATAAAGGCAGATGACAAGAAAACAAGCCAATGTGGGAGATGCCACCAAAAAATGAAAAAGGAAAGAAAAACCATTCAGGACAGGAACATAGTAGGGAGGAGTACAGACAGCCCTGGAAGAGCATAATGACAGAGAAGGAGTTAGCCAGTGAGGCTGCTCATAGACCTTGAGCATAGCTGGGTATTGGTTTTGTGCTCATTGAGTTATTGAGTTATATTTACAAAGGCAGGGAAGTGGTCTCAGATAGTTTTGAATGATCTTAGATAGGAAAGATTTTCTGACTGAAGTCCTCCCCCGCTCCCTTTTTGAAATTTCTACTCCTTCAGTCTTTTTTCCAATCCTTTGTACCAGAGTTAGTGAAATAAAAACGAAACCCCAAACCTTCCACGAACCACGTTGTGCAGTCATGACAGTGAGTTAGTAGATGGACGTTGTTCTCCTAAAACTGGTTCAGAGATTTTCTCATCTCCCTCATCTTTCTCTAGGCTCCGCATTGCTACAAAAAGCTACTGCTGCTGCCTCTGATGTAACAGAGTGAGGATAATTCTCGGTTCTGTGTTCTGACAGTCCAAAGAAACCTTGGAGCCGGAGACACACAGGGAGGGAAATAAACCTTATTTAGGTGCTGCGAACTTTATGAATTTTATTAAAGAACATTGACTCATTCTACATGCAAAGCCTTCTTCCACTGGTGACAGAGACAGAGTCACTGTGTAAAAAGGCTTTAATGTCTTTCCCTTCTTTGTAGAGGAGAACTTTGCTGTCAGACTCTGCAGGTTTAATTAACACATTAACTTGAATGGCTGTGAGTCATTTTCTCCTTTGCTTGGTAGAACATCCGGCTGGACAATTAACTTCTTAGGGGGGAAATATTTGAAGTAGTAGATGGAGTATACAGAGCAGCTTTGTCCAGGGGTGAATGAATATGCAAGAAGTGCTTCCTGCAAATCCCTTGGGAGTTTCAAATGTACTGATAGTTACAGTTTGTTTTAGATGTAGGCCTCTAGCTGTGGATCCATGGAAGCAAAACATATTCCTCTGATAAATAATCTTTGTTCATCCACTGGGGAACCTGGGTGCTTTACTAGTAGATACATCACTAGATGATTTGCATGATACAGAATTGATATTTTTTCTCATCATCATCTACTATGTGCAAGGCACTATATAAATACAGAGAGATGAGATTCCTGACATTTAAAAGCGCTGTGATCTCCATCAAAGATGTACAGAGTGATCTCAGATATTCAAGGGTGCTTTTAGATCGGAAGGAATTTCTGCCTTGCATTTATAGAAAACTCTTGAAACACTACTAAGAAATATAAATATATGTGTCTTGTAGTTTGATATCATCTGTGGTTGTACCATGGTTCCTTGGAAATAAGGCCACTAGGAATTCTAGTATGTAGGAGAAGGTTCCTAGAGAAGGTGGCCTTGATCTGGGCCTGAGGAGAACATTGGCATTGAAGTAGGAACGTCATGAAACCACCTCTGCCAGAGTAGGTAGCACCAATGGAGGCATGGCATGAGGAATATGCCCAGGTGTCGACGAGGCGAGAAGGCGAGTCCACCAACACTAGAGGGTACCTTTCAAGAGAGGAAATGGAAAAAGATGTCACTGAGCTGCATAATAATGACTTGGTTTACTGGATCATTTGGTATACCCACTGCTTGAGGGGCCTCTTGATGCTCACAAATAACAAAGCAGCTTCTTGAAAGAGGATAAAAACAAATATCATGAGACATGCCTGACTGGTCCACAGGTTTGAATCCAAGCCTAGAGGAGGTCAATTTAAAAACACACAGAAGGGAAACACACACACACACACACACACACACACACACACACACACACACACACACACGTGGGAGCAGGGATAGTAATTGCTTGGTGCGGCCATATGAGCTCTCAGAGTTTATGTATGATTTTCAGCATATATGTGAATTCAGTCTTCACAGAGAATTATTATTACTTCAAGCTGCCCTAATGCTGTTACACTGGCATAAATCTGTGTGTATAAAAATAGATGTTAACATTCATTTATGTATAGACAGAGGCACACACAATGGTGCAAACTCTATTCCCTTTAAACTCATGGAAAGCAGTGTGGTTCTGGGTTTAAAAAAAGACAGAGTAATGGAAGAGGGAGAAGCAGACAATCCAAATCCAAATGGGGCACTTGCTGTTGCTATACCAGTCTGCATGTTACAATGCAGATTGTTCAAGACGTGCTGGGGAGTAAGGAGCAGGACACGCATACTCTGGCTGCCTGGGTTCTGAACTAACAGGGATGTGTCCCATTTCCCTTCATCTTTATGAGGGAGGCTGTGTCCACTTCTTTTCTTAGCACTCTTAAAATGAATCAAGCATGAAATGTACCCAGGAAAACTTTCTTCCCCAGACGTGATGGAGCAGAAAATAATAATAATGCTAGAAAGAAAAAGCCACAGATTCTCCTTGGTCAGAAGCCCAAATATTGTATAGTTGGAGCCAGTTGAACTGCTTGCTTTAGTAGCCAGATATTTCAGCTTTTGGCAGGGGGTGGGGAGCTTTAGGATCTGTTTCGATCCAATGGACACACTGGCATAGGAAGCATTTTGAAGGGGGTTAGTACATAATTATTTGAGTTGCCTTCTTTCTGGGACATGCCTGGTATATCTGCAGCCTTGATGAGTCACTTGGTGAGTCATTTGACCCTTCACTGAGTGCTGGGGCTGGGAAGAAAGGACGAGCCTGAGCAGTCATGGCACTCGGCATACTGACTCACCATTCATTCTCCGTGGGATTTGGCAAATGCAAGGGTGGAAGATTGGGATGTGGGTGGGTTACAGACCAGGCACATAGAAGAAAGATGCTCTAAATTATTTTTCTCAAATCACTATCGCAGTGACCAGTGGGAACCACAATGCCTACAGCAACAGGAATCTCTGGGCTGCCATCAGAGGCACAAGAGCGTTCCATGGTCCTGTTAAAGATCTCTGGAGAGGAGCAGAGGTGTCGAGTGAACTGGATGTAGGAGAAGGAGGACATTAGGAGAGGATAGAGTAGGGGAGGGTTAGACCATGTCTCATGAACAGTGTTTTTATGCCGTTGCCTTTGGAGAGTGCTGACACAGTGTAGCAAATGGACTTGAACTCTTACCAGCTATATAACCATCTGTAAAATGCTCATAATAACTTCATATGTCACAGTGATGGTGTGTGGATTAAATAAAACAGTACACGAGAAGCCCTTGGATGACTAAATAAGAACTTAGTCAGTGTTATAGCCTGAAGTTTCCTCTGGTTACTCTTAAAAAAGACAACCATTGGCTCCTTTTGCCCACAAGAACAATTCCAGCCTCCCTAACTTGCCATTCAATGCCTTTTTTCAAGTTGCCCTCCATGTTTGCATCTAAACTTATTTAGATAAGCCAGACTTAATTCTATCCTGTCTCTGTATGTCTCACCATTTCGACCTATGTCGTTCTCTTTGTGAGTAATGCTTGTCCCATTTTTGCCAGTTTCAACGTTGTCATTCCTTTGCATCCCAACTGAATCTCGGAAGCATCTGTGAAGCATCCTTGATTGGCTGCAGAGTCTCCTTCCTCTGCATCCCTTTGTCACTGGCTGCCTTGTCCATTTCTCATTACTTTAGTCAGAGTTAGTTTATATTATCTGCTCTTTGAGAGCCAGGTCTAGATTTTGCACTTCTTTGAATCTCACACAATGATCTGTACAGGCTAATAGGTCAAGTGGTACTGCTGACTTTGTCAGCAGGCAGAATGGGATATGGATTCCAGTTCATTTTAATATTTAGTGGGTATGTGATTTCTAACAAATCACTTAATTTTCCTGAGCCTCAGTTTCTTCAGCTATAAAATGAGAGTATTAATATCTGATTTGCAGAATTTATGTGAGGAGTACAGATGATATTTGGATCATTCACCTGGTATGTGGTAGATGCTCAGTAAGTGGTAGGTACTATTATTATTACTGGTTTGATGAACTGCTGCTTGTGCATTCGATGTACCGTGGAATCATGGTGCTAAGTAATTTCTTTTCTCTATAGTTATACAGCTCTGCTGAGTTTGGGAGAAGGTGGCAGCTTATCCAGGAAGGGGTTGTACCCAACAGGTTCTACTGGTAAGTCTCACTTTATTTTGTAGCGTTTTGTGACGTCACTTGGTAAATGAGCATTGGAATCTTTTTCTCACCTGGAGCTCTCACATGAGCTTTGTTCTTATTGGGATATGCCCACAAGCCCCTAGGGCAGGAGGTGACATAAGAGTAGCAAAACATTTTTAGAGACTATTAAAGCTGTGTCACAATTTCCTTAATAAACCCAAAATAGATCATTGAGATTAGTGAACAGCAGGGGCTTTGTAACTGCTGTTTTGTTATATTTTGATGAGACTTGTGAGACTGACACTTAAAATATTTTAATAGTGATTTTTATTACTTACAAGTGTTATCCACAGATCTATTATATGTTCAAATAAAGGTTTTCAGTGTAAATAAGTAGATCTTATTTATTCTAAAAGTAGATCTTCCTCCCACTCCTGATTGCGAATTTTCTAGACCTCCTCCTCACCATATGGGACACAACCAATATTCTTAGTTTCCTTCTATCCTTCCAGAAATGTTCTATGAATTACCAATATATTCTTAGTCAGCTTAAGCTGCTAGAGCAAAATACCATAGACTGGGTAGCTTAAACAACACATTTCTTTCTCCCAGTTGTGAAGACCGGGGTGTCTAAGATGCAGGATCCTGGTGAAGGCCGGGATGTTTCCGAGGCTATTGCGGAGGGCTGCCTTCTTTCTGTGTCCTCACATGGAAAGAGAGAGAGAGAGAGAGAGAGAGAGAGAGAGCGCGCGCGAGAGCGATAGAGCGCGCGAGCGAGCGCGCGAGCGAGCGAGCTCCGGTACTAACCCCATCATGGGGCCTCATACTCATGACCTCACCTAAACCTGATTACCTCTCAAAAGTCTACCTCTAAATACCATTGCACTGGGGATTAGAGATTCTACGCAAATCGGGGGCATAATTGAGTCCATAACATTCTCACCCCTGACCCCTCCAAATGTATATCTTGCTCACATGCAAAATATAGCCATTTCATCCCAACAGCCCCAAATGTTTAAACTGTTACAGCATCAGCTATAAAGTCTAAAGTCCAATGTCTCATGTAAATGTAATTTAACTCAGATGAGGATGAAACCCAAGGTATGATGCACCCTGAGGAAAAATTTCTCTCAACTGTAAACTTGTGGAACTAGGTAACTTGTGAGCATCCAAAATACAGTAGTGGGATAGGCATAAGAGAGGCATTCCCATTATAAAAGGGAAAAGGAAAAAAATGGATGACAGTTCCCAAGCAATTACTGAGAAACCGCCACATGGTAGAGGGAGAGCAAACTCTGGTCTATTCTGCTTCCTGTACAGGCACTAATCCCATCCTGGGGGTCCCACTCTCATGACCTGGGTACCTCTCAGAGACCCCATCTCCAGATATTATCACTTGTGGGATTAGGGCTTCAACATGTGAATTTTGGGGGGGGGGCACAAACATTTAGTCCATACGTTTGCATTTACGTAAATTTTAGCTTATGCACACTGTTCTACACCTTACTTTTTTTCTGTTTTCTTTTTGAGTGGATACGATTCATAGTCCATGTCATCATTTTGTTAAATGGCTATGTGTCATTTTATTCCAAAGATGTACACTGGAGGCTTATTTAATATACAAAAATAAACTATATATGTTGGTAGGGGGTGGAGAAAAATATGATGGGGGAGGGGAAGAGAGGGGAGAGGAAAGAAGAGGAAAAGAGAGGAGAAGACAGATAGCAGAAGAAAAAAGGAAGCAAAGAAAGTGATACTCTTCTGTTTTTTTAACCACCTGAGCCCATCTCCCTGATTAAACTAGAGGTGGCCTCCTTCCCTGGAAATGGGAGACTCCAATTGGAAAGAAGGAAAATAACACAAGGCCCTTTGGTTTTGAGTTTCCAAGGGCCTAGATCCTGACAAACGAAGAAAAGTATGGTTCTAATATAATTTTAACACTACCTGTCAATTCCTTTTGAAATTATAATCTAACCCTTGCCAAAAGATATAACACTACCTTACTCTGATTTATCTGATTTGCCTATGGAAAAGCCCTTTAGGTTGTTTACAGACTTTTTCTGGTATAAACAGAAAAAGCGGACAGGGCATGAGACCTTGTAAAGTGCACAGTGCACATGACTGTTAATGAAAATTTCTCGGTCTCTGGCCCCTTTGACTCCTCCTGAAGTCACACTGTCTCTCATCAACCTTTGGACTAACATCCCTTCTGAGAGGAATGCATTTTTATAGTTCTCATTTTCAAACACTGCCCTAAAACCCCCTTGGGAGCCGAAAGCCAGAGACCTACATTAGAGAAATCTCTTAAAACGCTAGGGAAACTGCCTGAAAAAGTGAAAGACAAACCATTTGCAAACAAGCTGGCTCAAACATAACACCAAGAGACTTCTACAGGGAATACTATCTTTTCTCTCACCATAAAGAGACATTTATACCTGAAGGAGGTTTTTGTTGTGTAGAAGCTACTCCCCTGTCTTTCCCACGGCTGTCCTTGCTCAGGAGAGTCTAGAGCCTTGCTCTCTGTGTCCATTCTGGTCTCACCCTGTGCCTGGAATGCAACACTAGTTATCATTGAGTCTCTCTTCTCTGATCAGCACTGCTTCTCTCCCTCTCTTACTCATTTGTGTCCCTTATTCATGAGACACCTCTCACCTCTATGTATTTTGCTTATAGATGTAAAGTCACTTTTTGAAAAGCAGATCCATCTTTTTTTTTAATTTTTTTGTATTTTTCATTCTTTTCCACTTGGCATTCTATGTGCATAGAAAGACCTCGGAGAATAAAAGGACTAAAATAAATTAATGTGGTTCTCCTAATTTAACCTGGAAATGGAGTTGACGCTTTGCCAATGAGAAAGTGTGAGGGACAAAGTTTTCCTCTAGTTCTTCTTCCAAATGACTGAAAATATCTCCACAGGAACCCAGCAATATAAGGTAGAAAGTTAAAATACGTGGACCGCTGGATCAAAGTTTGTTCCTATAGATAGAAACAAAGAAAAACATTGACTAAAAAGATGAACAAGGAAAAAGCACTGAGATGGAAATATTTCCCATGTCAGTGGCACATGGTACCACATGACATTTTCTAGCTCACTGAAGGTCTCATTTACACACAGCATTATGAGGTGAACGGACCCCATCATTGCTTTGGCTGGTGCTAATTGCAGTCCGTTCTTATCTATTCTTTAAATGGGGATCTTCCACCTGAAAGCCTGATTAGCAAAGCCCTTGTAACCAAATGTCATAATATTATCATCTTTACCAAAACTTTATATGTGATTGTGTATGAATTCTAGTTAATCTGTTTGTTGAATAAAATAAATAGTACCCCTTCCCACTGCCTTTGGGAACAGAGGGACACATCCCCCCCATTCAAGCCATAACAATGTGATAAACATTATTCAAAGCTATTTAATCCTTCATCACAATTTTATGAAATAAGCCTTGCATTATCATCATTAGCAGATGGGGAACCTGTGGCATAAAGAGGTTAAGTAATTTAGCCAAGATCACACAGGCAGAAAGTGGCAGAGCCAGGATTCAAATGCAAGCAGTCTGGCTCCAATGTCTGTGCTCTACTAAATCAGTGGACTCTGTTGCCTCTGCCTGTTGGCCTTCTTTTCTGGACTGAGGCTGTGAGCCTTGGAAATCCAGCCTGTCCAAGCAGATGAGTAGAGAAAATCCAAAGCTGTTTTGGCCACTATGCCCACATGTATATCTCTCCAACTGGGCTTGGCAAATGGACCCCATGGGTTCTTTAAGCTCAGTTGGTTTTTCCAGACAAGGCATGAGACCTTGTAAAGTGCACAGTGCACATGACTGTTAATGAAAATTTCTCAGTCTCTGTTCACATGGCTTGTGTATTCTGACTTTGCAATGTTCTGAGGCTGACAGAAAAAGTGTCAATCAAAGCAATATTTATTAGACTCACTGCTGGAAACCAGTCGCTTCAAATTACATGGGAACTATGGGGCTCTCTAGGATTTTTCAGCAGGCATAATTAAAAGAAGGCCCCTTTAATCATTTCTTCTTGGAGCCTGGCTATGGGATGTGGAAGGGACTGAAGGGAACTTTTCTAGTGCTTAATTGAATTAAGTGACCCTGGATAATAGCATGGCATTTCCCATATAGAAAAAGGAAGATAAATTTATGTCTTTTTTTCCCTCAATTAGTACACTTGAGAAATATCATTATTTTGGGTGGCAATAGTAATGCCACCCCTAGAAGCAGTCAATGGCAATTGTAAAATCATCATGGAATATAAGTGTATCCTTATACTATCTCATTGGTTGCTATTGGTACTACCATGGCTAAGGTAAATATAAATATTTCTCCAAGGAGTTCAAATTGCTTCCAAAACCAATTTACATGTATAGGGCATCTTATAAAACACATCTTAGCACAGTATCGCCCTTAATAGAATAGGTGTTTTGTTTTGTTTTTAACTAACTGCAATAGTGCCTTTGTTCTTTACTGTGTCAGAAGTTAATTATATTGAGAAGGCAGGAGGTTGAAGGGCTCAGAGATACTGAGGTGTAAGTTCTAGCTTTGTCATTTACTAAGTAGGGGGTCATGGGGCAGTTACTTCTCTGTGCCTCAGTTTTGCTCTCCGTAAGATGAAGATAATATCTACTTTAATAAATGAGATGTTTCTTCTGAATTGTATTGAGTGTGCACTGACTAATAGTAATAATATTATTACTAGTGGCTAACTTTCTACATCTATTAGTTTTGTTTTTCCTTGTGTTGGCTTCATTCTCAGGTTGGTTTTCCCCTGTTTGTGACAATGATGGACATTTTCAGCTTAGCCTTACATTTTAAGGGCTTAGAATCCCCATCAAGCCAGTCTGCCTCATCCCTGTATCAAAAAAAAGAATCTGAGTGGCATGGCCTGGATCAAGGTTACATAAGATGATGCATCACTTGTGTAGATAAAACACATATCTACCCTGGGAACTGAAATAGAAAATGGGTTGAGACCCAATGAAATTTCATTGCTCAAGGTTGGGAGAAAGGTGA